AATGGGAAGAATTTTCGGACTTTGTGGTTTAACTCTTGATATGTCGTAGGTAGAGGCTGCTTCGGTGGTGGTAGATCAAAATAGGAGTCTGGAATTTTTGTTACAGTATAAAAGTCTGCTAGCTTCCTTTTATATAAAGCGAGATGTTGTAAAGAAGAGCAGTGGGTAATTGGAAATAGGTGGCGTAGGCTAGGTATTAATCCATTGTAGTGAGGAGGCAATGGAGGAAGTTTGGCAAAGTAAGTAGTTGGAAGCTCTGTGAATTTGAAGATTCTTCTTAGTGCATTTACTATGGCTTTTGTATGTAATTATTGTATAATCGGGAGTTTGAATAGTATGATTTGATGGATATTACTGGATATTTGTTCAGGAGTGTCTGGTAGAGGAATAAGCGTATTTTTGAGTGCTTTATTGATCTAGGCTCTGATTTCTTTATAGGTTTCTTCATTAGTGCTTTTAAGTTACAGATAGCTACTAGCAACACAAACAAAAACAACAAACCCACCACAAATACAAACACAGCACCACCACCAAACACCAATAATACTGCTAAACCATCACACCAAGGCCTAGCACACCTACCAATCAAATCACTACACCCATCATCTCCACACTAACCCCTACTATTAGCACTACTACACCCACTCTTAACTATACCCCTGCAAACACTATATCTAGCTCCAATGCCAATTGGAAAAGGCCCAGAAACCTATCCAATATATCACCAATCGCTACAACCTCTAACAAAGCCACAAAGACCTTGACAGATAGCACCTCCACCCTGATCAGAACTCAAGGAAGCCTAAAAACAACGCCAAAACCAACTTACAGCCAAGTCACTAAGACAAATATTAAACTCCTTGCTACTAATGCTCCCGAAGATGATATGGAATGGGCAACTAAAGTATACCTTAAAATCACAACCCCTACCAATACACCTTTTGACACAAACCTATGGCCAATTGAGGCTATTGCTAAAGCTTTAGAAACCCCAGAAGGCATATACAACTTCACTAGCTACAAGCTAACTACAACCTCTACACAGCACAAACTGCCTGAAGCTATCACTCTCAAGTTTATTTACTATGACACCAGGTTTTTTATCACATTCACACGCAACCCCAAAACCATCCCAGCCTACCAAAAAAAATACAATGACCTTTTCAACAAGGCTCTTGCTGCATATAAACAGGACAATGACATCACACTTACCAATACTGCCACCCACAATACGATTAGCCTAATACTTAAGCAATGGCTTATCAGTCAATACCTGTAAGGGTTTAGATGTAGATTACATCAGTCGGGGTGGTACGGGTCATGTGGAACATGATCTGACGAACGAGCGAATAGAAAGTGGGGATTATAAACCTTATGATCTGTGCTGCGAATGTCGTCACGTAGCTGGGTTCGATGGGTCGGAGTCGCATTCGAATCGGGAAGGGTAATCGAGTATAGTGATATGCATGATAAATGTGTAATATGAAAGTCTATGATAGTAATTAGTAGCGAATGCATAATAAATGTAGTCATAGTTAATT